CCGAACCAAAAAAAAAAAAAAAAGGAAGAAGAAGTAGAGCTGAAGCTGAGAGCTGGCGGTTCACACTTGTAATCCTAGCTCCTCAGGAGGCTGAGATCTGAGGATTGTTGTTCAAAGCTAGCTCATGTAGGAAAGTCTGTGAGACTCTTAATCTCCAATTAACCACCAGAAAACTAGAAGTGGAGCTGTAGCTCAAAGTGGTAGAGTGCCAGCCTTGAGCAACAGAGCTCAGGGATAGCACCCAGGCCCTGAGTTCAAGCCTTACAGTCGCCAAAAAAAAAAAAAGGTAGAGCAAAGCAAACCTGATTCTGATTTCAAATCCCAAAAACACCACAATAAAAAGATCACTTGAAAGAAATTTCTGAATATTTATGCTTTATACTTAAGTTTCCTATCTACTAGAAGTTTTTCTTCATCTCCAATCTCCTAGTGCCTCCTGTATGTCTCTGTCTTCTCTAACAAGATCTGGCTATACATTGACCAAATCATCTAGCATTAGCTATGCAGCCTCTACCTGGGAGCACAAAATCCCTAAGGGAATGAATATAACCATTGTCAGATCTGAGGTATAAAGAAACAAAGCCATGGACTCATTTGATGACAAGTTTTCTACAGATCTATGTCTATAATAACCACAGTATATAGGCTGGGAAGGTGGCTCAGTGGTAGAGCGCTTGCCTTGCATGTCTGAGACCCTGGGTTCGATTTCTCAGCACCACATGAGCAAAAAAAAAGAAAGAAAAAGAAAAAAAAGCCGGAAGTGGTGCTGTGGCTCAAGTGGTAGAGGGCTAGCCCTGAGCTGAAGAGGGACAGCGCCCAGGCCCAGAGTTCAGGCCCCACGACTGGACCCCCCCCCAAAAAAATAACCACAGTATAGGTTCAGGGTGATTAACCTCAGTCTCAGTCCTAGTGGTCAGGTTCTGTTTATGAGAAATTGATGGCAGGATATTTCCTGGGAATCTGTGAGTGGTGAAAACACATACTGTATATCATTTGACCAGTATCTTGATTTATGGTTTCAGTCACTGGTAACTTTCAAGGATGTGTCCATCCACTTCTCTCGGAAGGAGTGGGAGTTCCTGGATTCTACTCAGAAGGACTTGTATAAGGATGTGATGTTGGAGAACTATAAGAACCTGGTGTCAGTGGGTAAGGTCATTTACACCAAACACTTTGGACTGTTCTCTAAAATAATAGCTTTCTCTTCCATGAATTGGGATTCTATTTTGTGTGTGTGTGTGTGTGTGTGTGTGCACGTGCGCGTGTGTGCAGGCATGAGTGTATGTGTGTATGTGCGCTTGCATTTGCGTGTGAGCCGGCCAGTCCCTATGGCTTGAACATAGGGCCTGGGTTCTGTCCCTGAGCTTTTTTGTTCAAGGTTAGTGCTCTGCCACATGAGCCACAGCTCCACTCCTGGCTTTTTTGTGGTTAATTGGAGATAAGAGTCTCCTGGACTTTCCTGCTAAGACTTTGAACCTTGATCCTCAGATCTCAGCCTCCTGAGAAACTAGGATTACAGGCATGAGCCACCAGCACCCAGCTTTGAATGTGCTTTCTGTTTGTTTGTTTGCCAGGCCTGGGGCTTGAACTCAGGGCCTGGGCACTGTCCCTGAGCTTCTTTTGCTCAAGGCTAGCACGCTACTACTGAGCCACAGTGCCACTTCCAGCTTTTTCTGTTTATATGGTACTGAGGAATGGAACCCAGGGCTTCATGCATGCTAGGCAAGCACTCTACCACTAAGCCACATTCCCAGTCCTACCATGAATATTCTTTAATAGTTTTCTCTGGTGTATTATATGGTCCCATGTGTTTAATATAAATCAAGTCTCAAAGTGATTTTGAAAATGTCATAGTATTTTACTTCTACATCTTGTTCTCTTTCTTTCTTGTATGCAGGATATTCTCCCTCAAAGCCAGATGTGATAACCTTACTGGAACAAGGCAAAGAGCCCTTCCCAGTGATGAAGGATGTGCTAGGAAGAAGGTCTACAAGTAAGTGAGGGCTCACTACTTAGCTGGTGAGCCAGCAAAGGGCATGCAGTAAGAGCAGAGATGCAGGCTTTGCATCAGATTGTTGTAGTCGAAGACAGGAAAAAATTGACTTTTTGGGGGGTGCAAGTCCTGGGGCGTGAGCTCCAGGACTGGGTGCTATCCCTGAACTTTTTTGTTTAAGGCTAGCATGCTGTCATTTGAGCCATAGCTCCTCTTGCTTTTTGATGATTAAATGGAGATAAGAATCTCATGGACTTAGCCGGGCACCGGTGGCTCACACCTGTAATCCTAGCTATTCAGGAGGCTGAGATCTGAGGATCGCAGTTCAAAGCCAGCCCAGGCAGGAAAGTCCACGAGATTCTTATCTCCAATAAACCACTAGAAAACTGGAAGTGGCACTGTGGCTTAAGTGGTAGAGTGCTTGCCTTGAGCTGAAGAGCTGAGGGACAGCGCCCAGGCCCAGAGTTCAAGCCCCACGACCGACCAAAAAAAAAAAAAAAAGAAGAATCTCATGGACTTAATTGCCTGGGCTGGCTTTGAACTACCATCCATAGATCTCAGCCTCATGAATATCTAGGATTATAAACATGAGCTACCAGCACCCAGCTGAAACAGAGTTCTTAGCATGAACTCACAAAAGAACTTCATCCTAGCTTCCAACTATTGTATGCATGTGCATGCACACACAGGTGTGTGTGTGTGTGTGTGTGTGTGTGTGCACATGCACGCGCATGTCTGGGCATGCGTACACATGTGCACCAGTTCTAGGGTTTAAACTCAGAGCCTGGGTACTGTCCCTTAGTTTTGTACTCAAGGCTTGTGGTCTACCACTTGAACCATAGCTTCATTTCCAGCTTTTTGTTTTTTTTTTCAGTAATGGGGCTTGAACTCTGGGCCTGAACGCTGTCTCTCAGCTCTTCAGCTCAAGGCAAGCGCTCTACCACTTGAGCTACAGCGCCACTTCTGGTTTTCTAGTGGTTTATTGGAGATAGGAGTCTCATGGTCTTTCCTGCCCGGGCTGGCTTTGAACCATGATCCTCAGATCTCAGCCTCCTGAGTAGCTAGGATTACAGGTGTGAGCCACGGGGCCCGGCCATTTCCAGCTTTTTGATGGTTACTTAGAGATAAGACTCTCACAGACTTTTCTGCTTTGGCTGGCTTTAAGTCATGATCCACAGATCTCAGCCTCTTTAGTAGCTAGGATTACAGATGTGAACTACTAGCACCTAGGTCACTACTGCCACTTGAATACAAGTTACTATCACTTTTAGTTTAGACTGACAGTTCAGCCTATTAGCTGATAATTCTCCCAGTCTTCCCTCCACATTTAAAAGATCATCTACACAACATCTAGGCTGATTGTTGAAAAACAGGTTATTGCTTCCAAATACTCTACAAAAAGGAGAATTCAGATTTCTCACCAGGAAAAGCAAACTATTTTAAGACAGAGATCGTCTCTAAGCTCTTCTTTCATATTCTTCCCCCAATGAACTGCCCTTATGTAGAGCCCCTGGGATCCAGTCACCTCTCACTAGCACCACCATTTGGGGACCCAGGCTTCAATTCATGAGCCTGTGGGGAACATTTCATATCAAAATCATAACATAACATAACATGGCACCTGTAGGTGCCAGTGGCTTATACCTATAATCCTAGTTACTCAAGGGGCTGAGATCTGAGACTCACAAAGCCAGCCTGGGGAGGAAAGTCCATGAGACTCTCTTCAGTTAACTACCAAAAGAAAAAAAAAGGTGAAAGTGGAGCTATAGAATTATTTCAAATTCAGGATAACCAATTTTTCCTATAGTTTTGATTCGTTTTGGAGTGGTCTCAGAATAGCAGTGTTTTTAAACAACTTCTCCAAGATACCTCTGACCCATACCAAAACTTCACAATCACTGATGGAAATTACTTAATACATCACCACAGTCTCATGTTATCTTCCATTCTCTAAGTTCATATTGACTGATTTTAAATTATTGAACTATATTGTAAAATGTTTTTATTTTTTATTTTATATTTTGTCAGTCGTGGGGTCTGAACTCTGGGCTTGGGTGCTGTCCCTCAGCTCTTCAGCTCGTCTAGCGCTCTACCACTTAAGCCACAGCACCATGTCCAGCCTTTTCTGTTTATGTGGTGCTGAGGAATCAAACCCAGGTCCTCATGCATGTCAGGCAAGCACTCTACCACTGAGCCACCTTCCCAGCCCTGTAAAAATGTTTTTAAAGCCATTCACTTCTACTAATAATCATTTTCATTTTGCCTCCTCTTTTGAGGAGGAAAGCTTTATGTTTTGCTGGTTATAGGAAAATAATTTTTGCTTGCTTTTTTGTTACCAGGTCTTTCCTCCAGGCATAAGACCAAGAAATTATCTCCACAAAAATCTACTGGTGAAATAAGTGTATCTAAATCGAAGACAACAGAAACAAGTAAAACACTCAATCTCAAACGATCAACTTTGAAAAATGCGTGCCAGAACAAAGGTGACTCTAATGGCCCTCAAGAAGCTGAAGGAAGGAGTACTACTCAAAAGAAAATCAGCCATGAAAAAGGACCAACAAATAGAAAGCAACCGTCTACTCTGGATCAGAGAGTTGATAATAACGAGGACTCTAATGAAGACAGGGAACATGGGGAAACCACTGGTTGTGAGTCCAGCTCAATTCAACGTGAACCAGTCCATTTTGATGAACATTATGACTGTGAGGAATGTGGGAAAACTTTTAAGAGTGTCTACCAACTTACCCTACATGAGAAAATTCACAGTGGTGAAAAAATCCACGAATGTAAGGAATGTGGGAAGCTGTTCAGGCGTAAGTATCGACTGACGCTCCATTACAAAATTCACACAGGTGAAAAACCCTATGAATGTAAAGAATGTGGGAAGTTCTTCAGGCGTAAATATCACCTGACTCTACACAAGAAAGTTCACACTGGCGAGAAACCCCATGGATGTAAGGAATGTGGGAAGTTCTTCGGTCGTAAGTATCAACTTACTCTCCATCAGAAAATTCACACTGGTGAAAAACCTCACGAGTGTAAAGAATGTGGGAAGTTCTTTAGGTGTAAGTACCAACTTACTCTACACCATAAAACTCACACTGGTGACAAACCCTATGGATGTAAAGAATGTGGAAAGTTCTATAGTCTTAAGTACCAACTTAATCTACATCAGAGAATTCATACTGGTGAAAAGACTCATAAGTGTAAGGAATGTGGGATGTTGTTCAGTTACAAGTATCAACTTAATCTACATCAGAAAATTCATACTGGTGAAACACCCCACGAATGTAAGGAATGTGGGAAGACTTTTGGTCTTTACTCCCAACTTAATCGTCATCAGAAAACACATACCCATAACAAACGTTATAAATGCAAGGAGTGTGGCAAGAGGTTCTTAAGTAATTTTGAACTTACTCAGCATGGGAGAGTTCATGCTGATGATAAACCTTATGAGTGTAAGGAATGTGGAAAGACATTTCCATTTGGTTTCTACCTTACACAACATCAGAAAACACATGTAAAGGAGAAAACCTACCCATGTAAAGAATGTGGGAAAACCTTCAGTACACAAGAACAACTTACCCAGCATGAGAAAAGCCACACTGGTCCAAAACCCTATGAATGTAAGGACTGTGGGAAGGCCTTTAGACTTAGTGCTAACCTCACTGAGCACCGAAAAATTCATGAAGGTAAGAAACCTTATAAATGTAAGGAATGCGGGAAAACCTTTAATGAACGAGGACTCCTTATTCAGCATAAAACAATTCATACAGGGAAAAAACTCTATGAATGTGAAGTGTGTGGAAAGAAGTTTAATTACAGTGGGGACCGGAGAGTCCATCGCAAAATCCATACTGGTGAGAAACCATATGAGTGTGAGGAGTGTGGAAAGGCCTTTATGCTTCGGTCGGCCCTTACTGAACATGAGAGAATTCATTCTGGTCTGAAGCCTTATGAATGTAAGGAATGTGGGAAAACCTTTCGAGGGCGCTCGCAAATTAGTCTTCATAAGAAATTTCATAGTGATGTGAAGCCCTACAAATGTGGGAAATGTGGGAAGTCCTTCAGATTTGGTTTCTATCTTAGTGAGCATCTGAGAGTCCATACGGGTGAAAAGCCCTATGAGTGTAAAGAATGTGGAAGGGCCTTTATTCGTAGAGGAAATCTGAAAGAACACCTGAAAACTCATTCTGGGGTCAAACCCTATGAGTGTAAGGAATGTGGGAAGGCCTTTAGTTGGCGTGGACAGTTTACTCAACATCAGAAGATTCATACAGGTATAAAACCCTACAAATGCGAAGAATGTGGGAAGGCCTTTAATCGTACTGGAGACCTCAGAGTCCATCAGAGAATTCATACTGGTGAGAAACCCTATGGATGTAAAGAATGTGGGAAGTCCTTTAGACTTAATTCACACCTAACTGAACATCAGAGAATCCACACTGGGGAGAAGCCCTACGAATGTAAGGAATGTGGGAAGACCTTTAGACAACGTGCACATCTTTATCAACATAAGAAAACACACAAGGTAACTAAACAGAAGAAAGCCTTTCCAGGCACACCATAGTTACAGATGATCAAAAGATTCATGCCAGAAAATTTTTGTTAATATGTTGTTCGTTCATTCACTTCTTTCTTTCTTTCTTTCTTTCTTTCTTTCTTTCTTTCTTTCTTTCTTTCTTTCTTTCTCTCTCTCCCTTCCTTCCTTCCTTTTTCTCTTTCTTTTCTTTCTTCTTTCTCTCTCTCCCTTCCTTCCTTCCTTTTTCTCTTTCTTTCTTTCTCTCTCTCCCTCCCTCCCTTCCTTCTGTTCTTTTTCTTTCTTCCTTTCTTCCCTCCCTCCCTTCTTTTTTTCTCTTTCCTTTTCTGGCTTTTCCCTCCCTCCCTCCTACTCTCCTTCCTTCCCCTTCCCTCACTCCTTCCCTCCCTCCCTTCCTCTCTCTCTCCCTTCCTTCCTTCCTACTTTCCTTTTCTTTCCTTCCTTCCTTCCCTTTCTTCCTTTCCTTCCCTTCCCTTCCTTCCTTCCTTCCTTCCTTCCCTTCCTTCCTTCCTTCCTTCCTTCCTTCCCTTCCTTCCTTCCCTTCCTTCCTTCCTTCCTTCCTTCCTTCCTTCCTTCCTTCTTTTCTTTCCTTCCTTCCTTCCCTTTCTTCCTTTCCTTCCCTTCCCTTCCTTCCTTCCTTCCTTCCTTCCTTCCTTCCTTCCTTCCTTCCTTCCTTCCTTCCTTCCTTCGCCAGAACTCTACTTCTGGCTTTTTTGGGGGTAGTTTATTGGAAATAAGAGTGTCACAGACTTTTCTGCCTGGGCTGGCTTTGAACCACAATCCTTCCTTCCTTCCACTTAAACCAGAGCTCCACTTCTGGCTTTTTTGGGGGGGAGGGGGGATAGTTTATTAGAGGTAAGAGTTTCACAAATTTTTCTGTCCGGGCTGGCTTTGAACCATGATCCTCAGATCTCAGCTTCCTGAGTAGCTAGGATTACAAGCGTGAGCCACTGGTGCCCGGCTGTGTTGATCTTTCTTTACACCTATTAGTAAATATATGAGAGCGTTCAGAAAAGTCTCAGTCCTTGTTCAATTTAAGGGAATTCATACCAGAAAATAAACATGTTAATATAACAATTGTGGGCACTACTTTTAGCAATGATGTCTGTGATCATCATTGTCCTCTCTCACACTTTAGTAGCAGGCAAAACAATTTCAGGCAAAACACTGATTCCTTGATGGGTGCTGGTGACTTAGGCCCATAACCCTAACTACTTAGGAGGCTGAGATCTGAGAAGGTTTGAAGCCAGCCTGGGGAAGAAAACTACAAGACTTCCATCTCTGGTTAATCAACCAAATCTATGCTGGAGTTGTAGCTCAGGTGGTAGAGCAACAGTAGAGCAAGCAACTATACTGTTTGAGACCCTGAGTTCATGCACTGCTACTGGCACCCCCCCCCCAAAGAAAAGAATATATATAATCAAGTTAGATCCAAGAACATTATGCTGAATTCTGGAGGTCAACTTTAAAAATGTCACACACTTTGTGATTCCACTTATGTAACATTCTTTTTTTTGTGCTGTTACTAGGGCTTGAATTCAGTGCCTCACGCTGTCACTTAGCTTTTTTGCTCAAAGCTGTGATGCTCTACCTGTTAGGCTACACCTCTACTTCTAGCTTTTTGCTGGTTAATTGTTGATAAGGGTCTCTTGAGTCTTTCTGTCTGGGCTACCTCTGAACCACAGTCCTCAGATCTCAACTTCCTAAGTTGCTAGGACTGCAGGTACGTGCTACCAGCACCTAGCTTCAATTTGTATTTTGATTGCAGTGGTGGTTGCATGAATCTGCATATGCAGTAAAGTGACACATGATGATACACATGCTGTACCAATGTCAGATTCTGTGTTTTGATATTGTGCTGTAATCTTGTGCATGTAGCTATGGGGGAAGACTATGAGGTATACAGAAGATTTCTGTGTACATTTTTCAATTTCCTGTGTATCTACGATCACTTTAGAACTTTTAAAAGTCAATTTTTTAAGAAGCTTCAATATGAAGGGGCTCAGAAACAGAATGCCCAAAACTGAATTATGAATTGGGAAGTCTGAAACTTTAGTTGTGGAGTATCTGGAAGGAACCAGATGTGATAAAGAAGCATGAGCCACCAGCACCTCACTCCACCTCTGTCTAACCTAACTTTCTTGTGACTAGTAGATAAAACTCTTAGAACACATCCCTAAGCTGAGTAGACTAGCTTCCATCATCCCTAAAGCTAAGAATGATGAAAAAAAATCAAACCTACAGAAGATTTGCCTGCTGTGCTGTAGCCCACTGCCTGATCCTCCAACCAATGTGTTTGTTTAATGTACCAATGTATGACTTTCTGATCTGTGACTCTTAGCAGCCCATGTAACCTCTTCTGTGGTTGAGCATGTTATCCAGGTGAACCTGAATCTGTATTCTCCAGTGTTCCCAGGCCTTGCTCACTGTTTGGCTCAAAATAAACTCTCTTATTTCCTTCAGAGAAAAGGTGTATTTTGTATCAAATACTGTTTATGTAACCTGTTAGTTCTGTTTATGTAAACTTTCCATAGCTGGCACTGGTGGCTTACACCTGTAATCCTAGCTACTCAGGAGGCTGAGATCTGAGGATCGTGGTTCAAAGCCAGCCTGGGCAGGAAAGGTCATGAGACTTATCTCCAATAAACCACTAGAAAACCAGAAGTAGCTCTGTGGCTCAAGTGGTAGAGTGCTCATCTTGAGCTAAAGAGCTGAGGGACAGCGCCCAGGCCCAGAGTTTAAGCCTCACAACTGACAAAAACGAAAACAAAAAACTTTGAATATATTCCCTGGAAGGTCTAATCTAACACAAAACAATATACATGAGGTATTATAAACAAGACCTGATAAATTGGCTTTAAGGAAATTAAACCAAAATTATTGCAAAAACGCAAGATGATACTTTCAGAAATAAAATGGTACATGATACCAACATAGAATATAAAAGCCAGGCCCCAGTGCCTCATGCCTGTAATCCTAGCTACTCAGGAGGCTGAGATCTGAGGATCATGGTTCAAAGCCAGCCTGGGCAGGAAAGTCCTTGAGACTTATCTCCAATAAAGCAATAGAAAATGGGAAGTGGCGCTGTATGTAGCTCCAGTGGTAGAGTGCTTGCCTTGAGCTGAAGAGCTGAGGGACAGCGCCCAAGCCCAGAGTTCAAGCCCCACAACAGACAAATAAAATTATATATATATATATATGTATGTATGTATGTATATACACACACACCAGGCATCAGTAGCTTGTGCCTGTAATCTTAGATATTCAGGAGACAGATGTGAAAATTGAGGTTTGAAGCCATCTTGAGCAGGAAAATCTGAGGTTCATCTCACAAAAAGCCAGATGGAGCTGTAGTTCAAGTGGTAGAGCACCAGCTTTGAGTGAAAAAGCTAAGGGGCAGCTCCCAGGCCCTGAGTTGGAGCCCCAGGACCAGCACAAAAATAGCTCTCTGCATACGTTCATTACTGGCAGTAACAACAATTCATAGCATTGTTCACTTCCCTCCCAGCAGAGACTTACAAACTACACAGCACCAGCTTCACTCAGCACATACCTTCATGTTCTTTTTTTTTTTTTTTTTGGTTGGTCGTGAGGCTTGAAATCTGGGCTTGGGCACTGTCCTTCAACTCTTCAGCTCAAGGCCAGCGCTCTACCACTTGAGCCACAATGCCACTTTTGGTTTTCTATTGGTTTATTGGAGATGAATCTCACGGACTTTCCTGCCCGGGCTGGCTTTGAACCTTGATCCTCAGATCTCAGCCTCCTGAGTAGCTAGGATTACAGATATGAGCCACCGGCGCCCAGCTTACATTCATGTTCTGTTCATCAGAACAACCTTTACATTCTCATAGCACCCTCTGTCCAACGGTAGCACATCATCACACTCTGTTGTACAATGGGGACACACTGTCTAAAACTGGTATTTGGCCAAGGATGAACACACAAGTTTGCACATGCACACTTAGTCTCAAGGATACATGAGGTATCACATGTGCATACAACTCAAAGTCACACAGATACTCAGAACCAGCTGAATCACAGTCCTTGAGAAATAAGGCCCCAAGCCCTCTAAGAGTACGGTGAGACAGCCATGTGCCAGTCTCATGCTTGTAACCCTACTCAGGAGGCTGAGATCTGAGGATCACAGTTTGAAGTCAGCCTGCACAGAAAAGTCCCCATGAGACTCTCAACCTCCACTTAACCACTCAAGAACCAGAAGTGGTGCTGTGGCTCAAGTGGTAGCACTCTAGCCTTGAATGCAAAGAGGCTCAGGGACAGTGCCCAGACCTTGAGCTCAAGCCCACAACCACCGCCACCACCAACAACAAAAGATTACAGTGAGAGAAGTCTGACTTTGTTTATCCTTCTCCATGGCCTTTAAAAAATAGAATTAAGCCAGGGCTCTGTGGCTCTGTGGCTCATGCCTGTAATCCTAGCTACTCAGGAGGTTAAGATCTGAGGATTGAGGTTCAAAGCCAGCCTGGGCAGGAAAATCTGTGTCTTACCACCAATAAACCACTCAGAAAAAGCTGAAGTGGTACTGTGGCTCAAAGTGGTAGAGTGATAGCATTGAGCACGGAGAGGCTCACTGACAGAACCTGCTTGCCATCCTAGCTTCTCAAGGCTGAGATCTGAGGGTCATTGTTTCAAAGCCAGCCAGGGCAGGAAAATGTGTGAGACTCATATCCAATGAACCACCAGAAAATCAGAAATGGTGCTGTGGCTCCAAGTGGTAGAGCACTAGCACTGAGCAAAAAAAGCTCAGGAACAACACCTAAGCCCTCAGTTCAAGTTCCACAACTAGCTGGCTCTCATCATTCTTCACTCATCAGTTACAAGGATCGAAAAGGTTCCAAAATTTTTTTTAATGTCTTCTGAAGGTAAACTTATTTTTGTGGGGGTGAGGGTGGGGAGAGGGAGACAAGAAAATGCCAACCCTTTTTTATTTCCTGCTTAAAAAAAAAGAGTATCTTGCTCATAAACACATTCTAACCATACCACTGAACATGTACTCTTCGGTCATTATCCCTTAACAATCAAACATACAACTATGTGCATAGTACTCATATTACATTAGGTAATCTATACAGTATATCTATAAAAGTATACAGTAGGATGTGCAGGTGCATAGGTTTGATGGAAATTAACTATGCTATTTTGCACAGTAATTTTCCAATTTTGAGGATGTGCAGCCCACACTGGGATTCCCACACCCATGTCCTACTGCAGGGGCGGCCATCTTGAATACTCTCCTTACCTTCTCCTGTGAAACAGCCATCTTTGCTGGCATAGGAAAACACATGGGCTCACCTCGAGTGGTCCAGCCTGTAGAGGACCCCCAAAAACAGTCAAGTCTACCTGTACATATACTCATGGCCCAGGAAGTAGTGGGCAGCCCCAGGACTCACTGACCACTGACCTGGGAAGCTTCTGAGCAGCTTCTCATTGGAGGCCTGCAGAGAAGCAGCCCAGTGGCCCCACTTACCCTCCTGTGGTTTCAAGCAGCTAGGATTATAGGTATGAGTCAGTGATACCCAGCTCTTACCATCCTTCTTTAATAGTATCTCAAATGTAAGCGACACTTAAACCATTTTAAATTTGGGCTGGCCATATTTCAATTGTGGTGACACCACATTAGTACACATCTAGTCCATTAGTTACCACTTAGATATGGTAATTGTTTCCTTTTTTTTTTTGGCCATTCTTGGGGCTTGAACTCTGAGCTTGGGCACTGTCCTTGAGCTTCTTTTGCTCAAGGTGAGTACTCTACCACTTGAGCCACAGTGCCACTTCATTTATAGTCTTCCTCAGATTTCAGCCTCCTGAGTAGCTAGGATTACAAGCATGAGCCACCAGCACCCGGCTTTCCCCCCCACCCCCAATGGTAAGAAACTTTGGCAGAGGTTTTTTTTTTTGTTTTGTTTTTTGTTTTTGTCAGTCATGGGCCTTGAACTCTGGGCTTGGGTGCTGTCCCTGCGCTGTTCAGCTCAAGGCAAGTGCTCTATGGCTTGAACCATAGCACCACTTCCGGTTTTCTGGTGGTCAATTGAAGATAAGAGTCTCATGGACTTTTCTGCCCAGGCTGGCTTTGAACCGTGATCCTCAGATCTCAGTCTCCTGAGTAGCTAGGATTACAGGTGTGAGACACTGGCCCCGGCTTGGCAGATTTTTATTGAGTAAGGAAGCAGGCAAGCAGACACACAGACAAGCAGAAAGGAGAAGGCTCTCTGAGTATGGGTGCTCTCAAAGGGAGAGACATCAATTGTTTTCTTGTACTCATTCTTTAAGCATATGGACTCTACGGAACTCATTCTGTGGTAGATCTAGAGACAGGAAGTGAGTTAGAAACAGTCTACAACCTCAACCTTCACTTTCTGCACACATATTTAACATCCCAATGTGGAAATACGCCCAAATTTTAGTATAAAGACATTTCTTTAAAAAGATCACTTCAAATTGGTTATAATTTGAATTAGCTTTATTTTTAGAACATTACATGAAAAATTTAAATACATAATAGTGAATATCACAAAAATAAAATGAACAGGTCCGAGACAGTCTACCATTTTGCCAAACTTGTTATCCACTATTTTTGTGTGTCTTTTAAGACATTCCAAACACTTCGTGTGTATAAAACTTCAAAATTTATCTCTAACAGACCCTTACCTAAATAGTATCATGTGAACGATTAATATTCCCATTTTCTTAATTATACAAAAATGTCATTTTACCATGTTTGTTCCACTTGTGAACTCACCATTTCTTTCCCTGCATCTGACAGGTGGCTTAAGCCTCTTCTACTGTCCTCAGTTCTGTCTCCCTTTTTCTTTTACCTTTTGTCGGTCGTGGGGCTTGAACTCTGGACTTGAACACTGTCCCTACGCTCTTCACTTCCGGTTTTCTAGTGGTTTATTGGAGATAAGAGTCTCTCGGTCTCTCCTGCCCGGGCCGGCTTTTAACCTTTTTCTTTTTTTTTTTTGTTGGTCATGGGGCTTGAACTCTGGGCCTGGGCGCTGTCCCTCAGCTCTTCAGCTCAAGGCGAGCGCTCTACCACTTGAGCTACAGCGCCACTTCCGGTTTTCTGGTGGTTTATTGGAGATAGGAGTCTCACGGTCTCTCCTGCCCGGGCTGGCTTTGAACCGTGATCCTCAGATCTCAGCCTCCTGAGTAGCTAGGATTACAGGCGTGAGCCACCAGCGCCCGGCTTTGTCTCCCTTTTTCAATGCCACTTACTGGCTGAGAAGCCAGGACATTCCTCTTGTACAACATTTTAGATATAGTTGCTTCTTGTATCATGTGATCTGTATTCCTATTCCTACTTTTCTCTAAACTGGAAGTTTGATCTTCAAGTCTAAATTCAGTACTGAAGTACTATTGCAAGGTGTGTATTTTACTGTGTCACATTAGGAGGCAATATTTATGTTATTATTTTTCTGAACATTAGATTGGTCAGCAGGCTCAGGTTGGTTACCTGATCTATTCACTAGAAAATTCAAGTCTATCTCTCACTTAAGGGTCTAAATCTCTACAGAAAATCATCCCTCTATTCACTATTACATCATTATAAAATGGGGGTTTTTGATATAATTTTCTAATTCTATAATTCTTTAGCTGGAATTCTCTAGTAAAGAAAAAACTATCACAAATGCCAATTTCCTTGATATATAATTTACGCAGGAAAGGCAGACAATGTCATTTCTTTCCTTTATTTTCAAAACAAGTGGGTGCCTTGGCAACTCCCATAGAATAAGGACAATAAAGCTTTAATGAAGCTCTCCTTCAGAATGAATTTCCTGGAATTTAACATGAATGGGATAAAAGGCTTCTATACGTTCACTACATTAACTCATTCTTCCTTACATTCAAAAATGATGTCTTCTAATGCTCCTAACCCAACATTCATAGTGAGGAGGTGGTTATAACTAGGTTACATTATGAATGCGCTGATGATATGTGAGGTGTGAGTGCTGTCTAAAAGCCTTCTTACATTCCTTGCACATGTAGGGTTTTTCACCAGAATGAATCCTCTGGTGTTGAATAAGGGAGGAGTGAAGTCGAAAGGCCTTCCCACACTCCTTACAGTCATAAGGCTTCTCACCAGTGTGAATGCTCTGATGCTGAGTGAGCTGGGAGAGCAGTCTGAAAGTCTTCCCACACTCCTTACACTGATAGGGTTTCTCGCCAAAATGAATGCTCTGATGTTGGGTCAGCTGGGAGAACAGCCGGAAGGCCTTCCCGCACTCCTTACAGTCGTAGGGCTTCTCCCCGATGTGAATGCCCTGATGTGAAATAAGTTCTGAGTAACGACGGAAGAACTTCTGACACTCTTTACACTCATAGGGTTTCTCCCCTGTGTGGATTCTCTGGTGGAGGGTAAGATGATAGCCACGACTGAAGGTCTTCCCGCACTCCTTGCAATCATAGGGCTTCTCACCAGTGTGGATCCTCTGGTGCAGGGTGAGCTGCTGCCGTACTCGGAAGGCTTTCCCACACTCCTTGCAGTCGTATGGCTTCTCACCAGTGTGAAGCTTATGATGCAGCCGAAGGCCCGTACTACACAGAAAAGCCTGGCCACATTCCTTACACTCGTAGCACCTCTCAGCAAAATTGAGTCTCTGGTGTCGGGTGAGGTGTGCATACTGTCGGAAGGTCTTCCCACACTCCTTGCATTTGTAAGGCTTCTCACCAGTGTGGATCCTCTGGTGGAGATTCAGCTGTCCCCGCACTCTGAAGGCCTTCCTGCACTCCTGACATTCATAGGGTTTCTCGCCCACGTGAAGCCTCTGATGCAGGCGAAGGTCTGAGCTGCAGGGGAAGATTGCTCCACATTTCTTACACTCATAGAGTTTGTCAGAGGTGTGAATTCTTTGATGTCGACTAAGGTGGGCACACTGGCGGAAGGTCTTCCCACATTCCTTGCACTCGTAGGGCTTCTCACCAGTGTGGATTCTCTGGTGGAAAGTAAGCTGTTGGCGTGCTCTAAAAGCCTTCCCACAGTCCCCACACTCATAGGGCTTTGCTCTATTAGGGGTTTTCTGGTAGAAATGAAGGGGTCCCAGTTCTCTGTCCATGGCTATTTTCTCAGTGGTGGTTTTTCTCCCTTGCCTGAAATAGACCCCGGGAGGACCTTCCTGTTCCCCAAACATTTTATACCCACAGTCTTTTCCTAAAAAGGACTCTTTGAGGCCATGGCTTTGGATTCTTTCCATGATTTCCCACTGAGATAAATTCATTTCATAAAATTTCTTTTCTTGAAATAACTTCTTAGTATCATACCTGGATTCCAAGTCTGAAAGGAAAAAAACCACACAAAGTAAGGTTTTATCTTCCTGGTCCAGACAAAATACAATTCCTTTCTTTCTTTCTTTTTGTTTTGTTTTTTTGTCAGTTGTGGGCCTGGCCACTGTCCCTGAGCTCTTCAGCTCAAGGCTAGCACTCTACCACTTGAGCCACAGCACCACTTCTGGCTTTGTCTGCTTATGTGGTGCTGAGGAATCAAACCCAGGGCCTCATGCATGCAAGGCAAGCACCCTACCACTGAGTCACATTCCCCTTCCTTCCTTCCTTCCTTCCTTCCTTCTTTCTTTCCTTCCTTCCTTCCTTTCTTCTCTCTCTCTCTTTCTTTTTGCCAGTCCTGGGCCTGAACTCAGGGCCTGGGCACTGTCCCTGAGCTTCTTTGGCTCACTCTACCACTTGAGCCACAGCACTACTTCTTGCTTTTTCTGTTTATGTGGTGCTGAGGAATCAAATCCAGGGCTTCATGCATGCTAGGCAAACACTTCACCAGTAACCCAGCTTCCCAGCCCCAATATACAATTTCTTACTACCCATTTGTAGAAGGAGAAGAGTTCACTTACAATTATGCAAAGGAGAGCTGGGAAGATGGCTCAGTGGTAGAGCACTTGCCTTGCATGCTCGAGGCCCTGGGTTCGATTCCTCAGCACCACGTAAGAAAAAAGCCGGAAGTGGCACTGTGGCTCAAGTGATAGTGGGCTAGCCTCGAGCTGAAGAGCTGAGGGACAGCGCCCAGGCCCAGAGTTCAGGCCCCTCGACCGGACCCCCCCAAAAAAAACAATTATGCAAAGGAGGAACTGAGTTATAGTGGAAATATTTGCAAGTGTAAGGTAGATAGGCAGTTGGGAGGGTAGTTTTTGTAAAGAAATCACCATTTTCCTGCGGGGTGCTAGTGGCTCACACCTGTAATCCAAGCCACTCAGGATTTAGAACTGAGGATTGTGGTTCAAAGCCAGCTGGGGCAGAAAATTCTGTGAGACTCTTACCTCTAATTAACCACCAAAAAGCCAGAAGTGGAGCTGTGTTCAAGGGGTAGAATGCTAGTCTTGAGTGAAAAAGCTCAGAGACAGTGTCCAGGTACTGAGTTCAAGCCCCAGTATTGGCACAAAAAAAGAAAAAAAAAGTTAAACTAATGTATGCTGTTGTTGTTAAAGTAAGGATAGTGGTTAACCATGCAGTGGAGGAATGACTGGAGTCAGGATGGGTGATGGACTGAAGTTATCAGTGGTCCTGATGCTCAAATGGTCCCATCTTTGGCAACTGTCCTACTGGCTCCTCTTCCCTGACCACTCTAATCAAATTACCCCATTCACTCATTTTAATTCTCATATCATAACTTTATTCACTTAACATTTCAGGACATTTAGTAAGCCACTGTCTGTTTTATGTTTCTAAGGATTAAATCCAGGGTGTCACATGTGCACTAAGATACCCCTTAGCCTGAACCATTTATTTCTTTACTGTCTGACTCCCCCACTACAATGTAAATGAGAGTGGTGATAAAAAAAAAAAAGAAGACATAATAAAAACTGAAATACAAAACGAGTTCTAAAGAAACATATAATCCTGGCAGCAGGTCTGTGCTTTGTTACTTGCCTCTGGCTGTAGAGCACCTACTTACCCAGGCTCCATCTTCTTCTTTCTTCCCTTACAACGATCCAGGGTTCTTTCCCTTGTTCCAGTAAGGAAATCACATCTGGCTTAGAAATGGAACATCCTGTTTGAGAAAAACAGAAGAAATTTTAAAAAATTTATTGGATCAGGCTTCATATTGAAGACGACTATCAAAACTAAAATATATTCAAATTAAATTACTCAGGACTAGTAGGGGAAAAAAAAGAAGTAAGAAGTAGGGGATATGGTGCTTATTTTAATTTAAACTCATATAGTCTTTGTCTTGTAAGAGGGAATAACAGTTGGGAACACTGGTTCCACATCCTGCCTCTTGTAATCTAGGTCATGAGGACAAGTACTTTAATCCTTTTGTACCTCTTTTCTCAGCAGTAAAGAGGGGTGAATGGTACTATGTACACATATGATTATTCTGAACTGATAAGTGTTAGGATGAGTACCTACTACATTGTAAGCACTATAATTTTTTTTTTTTTTTTGCTGGTCATGAGGCCTGAACTCGGGGCCTGGGCGCTGTCCCAAAGCTCTTCAGCTCAAGCCTAGCACTTGACCTCTTAAGCCATAGTGCCACTTCCGGCTTGTTCTGCTTATGTGGTGCTGAGGAATCGAACCCAGGGCCTCATGCATGCAAGCACTCTACCACTGAGCTACCTTCCCAGTCCCAGCACTATAATTTTTATTAAGCACTGTTTTTTTGCTATTTTTTTTTCCCATGGGGCTTGAACCCAGGCCTGGACACTGTCCCTGAGCTTCTTTTGCTCAAGGCTAGTATTCTACCACTTAAGCTACAACGCCACTTGCAGCTTTTTCTGTTTATGTGGTCCTGAGGAATTGAACCCAGGGCCTCACGTATGCGAGGCAAGCACTCTACTACTGAGCCACCTTCCCAGCCCCTTTGCTGTTGTTTTGCTAAAAGGAAAATAAAGTTTCTTGCCAGGATATTCACATAATTTTAAATGCAATGTTGGGCACAGAAGTTCACGCCTATAATCCCCAATTCTACTTGGGAAAAGGATCTCAGGAGGATAACACTTTTAAAAGCCAGCTGGGCAAAAGAGCTACCAAGACCCCCTTCTCTGGATGTGGTAGTACATACCTGTATTACCAGCTACCTGAGAGACACAGATAGGAGGACTGAGGTCCAGGCTAAAACATAAGACTCTATCCAAAATATAACTAAAGCAAAAGACACCGGAGGTATGGTTCAAGAAGTAGAGCACTTGCCTAACAAATGTGATGCTCTGACTTCGTTTCATTACTGACAAAATAAGAAGAAAAATAAGAAGAGTATTTAAGACTTTTAATCACAAAGCAGTTACAGGGTTATATGTCTGTGTTAGAAAATTGGACATGTCTATTTTAGTTTGAAAAAATAAACTTTTTTTTTGGTTGTCATGGGGCTTGAACTCAGGGCCTAGGTGTTGTCCCTGAGCTTTTACACTCAAGGCTAGTGCTCTATCACTTTGAGCCACAGCATTACTCAGTCCCCCCACTCTCCTGGTGGTTAATTGGAGGTAAAAGTCTCATGAAAGTCTCACTTTCATGTCTGGATCGGCTTTGAATCACAATCCTCAGATCTGAGCCTCCTGAGTACCTAGCAGTAGTAGTGAGCCACCAGTGCCCAGCAATTAAACTTTTAATAGGTATACAAAGCTAGATATCCATCTTCTATTCTCATCATAAGAGGAGTCCACAACTAACATGAAGATCTACAACATTATGATCCTAGATTTCTTTGCTAGGAGGTTCCATACAACAGTTATTAGGGAGAAGCAATAACAGAAGAGGGAATTAAAGTCATGGAGTTATGGAACGATGTAAGGGCTCAACAAAGGTGCTCACTCCTGAACCACAAAGACAGGTTTAGATGGGTTTTAGAAATTGAGCCCTGAATTTTGGTTGTGAGAATTTCAATATTTTGGCACAGAGAATCTTACCGAGTGACACCAAATTTTTGTAGTTCTCTAATATCACGTCTCTATATAAATTCCTCTGGTATGAAGTCAGACATTCCCACTCTTCCTGAGAAAAGTCAACAGTCACGTCTCTGAACATCACCAAATCCTGAAATGACAAACCTAATAACCATAAGATAAAGTATTTTTAAGATGGAATACTAGTCTTAAAGACATTTTCTCATTTTATCTATTAAATGGGCTGGACTGGAAGTCTATGATGTAGGTAGCAATATTTACATGTTCTTAAAAATGTGTTGATGTATTCCAGGGATTAGCAAACATTTTCTATTAGGGGCCAATATAGTAGGCTTTGTCTACCACATATAGTCTCTGTTGCATGTATCTTCCTTCCTTCCTTTCTTTCTTTTTCTTTCTTTCTTCCCATTATCAGAGTTTGAACTCCAGGCCTTAAGCCTGTTGGGATCTACACTTGGGGCAACAGCTCCAGCCTAGCTTTTGATGGTTATTTTGGAATTAGAGTTGTCTGCCTGGGCTGGCTGTGAACCTTGATCTCCTGAGTAATTAGGATTACAAGCATGAGCCACCAGCATGTGGCTTTCTTACTTTTTAATTTTTTATATTCTTTCAGAATATAACTTGCTTGCAGACTGTACAAACAGGCCAGAATCCCAATTTGGCTTATGGGGCAAACTTGTACTTGGCTAACAACCATAATAACCAAAACAGGTTCATATAAACATGGTTAGCAAATGGCCAAGATATTCGCAACTCTCATGATTTAGCCTATCTTCTTTCCTTTAAGGATCAGAAAAAAAAAAATGATGGGAGCTAGCAGTAGTGTACTTGTCTAGCAAGCTGGAGGCTCTGAGCTCAATCCTGGTACTCTGGAAATAAAAAAAAGGACAGAAGAGAGGAAAGGAGGGAGGGAGGGAGGGAGGGAGGGAGGGAGGGAAGAGGGAGGAGGGAGGAGGGAGGGAAGGAAGAAAGGAAGGAGAGACATCTACTTACATGAGCCATGATTTTAGAACTGCAAGAACAGGTCAGTTTTCCTCAAGGTTCCTTCACTGGAGAGGCAAAGTCCACAGTTGTCAGAGCTGTGGGGAGAATGTGGGGCCATAAGAACAGAATCACCTTAGAGCTTCCACATTTGAGAAACAGTATACTGAACTTTTCCACTCCCACATGCAACCTGCTCCCAACACACAGATCAGTTATGCAGCCAGAGGTTCTTTAGACAAATGTATCTCCTCCTCCAAACATGGAGAAATCAGCAATGCTAGGAAGAGACACTGAACAGTCTCCATCAAATCTTATTGTCAGTCACTTCCCAGGAGGGATTCCAGTTAAGTTCCTGTACCCCACCACAGGGGCCAATATGGACCTGAAATCTAGATCTGGCTGCACAGACCTGGCCTGAAAGTGGCCTCCTCACTCCAGTCTGCCTTTCTAGCTAAGACTATATCCTCTAAACCAGAACTTCCTTCTTGGATTTAGGAATCTCACCAGCTTCTCAAACCTCCAAGAAACAGTGAGACAAGAATCTTCCAAGCTTTACTACAAATTGGTCACATACAGAATTTCAGAAATACCAACTCCTGGCTCCAAGCTACTCAGGAGGCTGAGATTTGAGGATTGTGGTTTTAATCCAGCCTAGGAAGGAAAGTCTGAGAATTTTTTTTTGTCAGTCTTGGGGCCTGAACTCTGGGCCTTGGCGCTGTACCTCAGCTCTTCAGCTCAAGGCTAGTGCTCTACCTCTTGAGCCACAGCGCCACTTCTGGTTTTCTAGTGGTTAATTGAAGTAAGAGTCTCACAGACTTTCTTGCCTGGGCTGGCTTTGAACCATGATCCTCAGATCTCAGCCTCCTCAGTAGCTAGGATTATAGGCATGAATAACCTGAACATCTCATGAGAATGCTTAGAAATACTGTGCTCACCTGGTTAACTAACTGTAGACAACTGCAGGCACTGGACACTAGAAAGAGGATTTCCTATTACGTCCTTTGCATTGACTAGGTATGCTTATCCTAAGGTTCAAGCCAGTTCATCTTAAAAAGGAAAAAACAAAAACAAAATAATTTCATGTCTTGAAAATCAAATGCATTTCACAGCAAGAACCAAACAACACAAACTCACAATCACCTTTTCAAGGGCCTTTTCTGTGAATTGGCAAGGATAAACAGAGAGGGCTTAAGACACTCCGGGCTTTTCTTGAGTAAGCCAAAGTCCCTATGGTTCCCAGGCCCTGGCTGTTCCTCGTCCTGCATGCACATGAATGCAAACGAGAGGGAGACAGAAGGTCCCCTGTAGTAACGACAATGAGTCTGCCCACAGTGTCTGGTTTGGAACAGTCCCAGCGGGTCCTCCCAGCCCCTAGAGGCCTGCCCAAGCCTCCCTAGTGGGGCTAACACCTATGATTTTTCCACTCGGGCCTCTTGCAGCCAGGCCTAGGTGGCTGAAGGCAGACAGACGTGACCAGGGCTTCAAGACAGGCCGCCCTTACCAACAGGGCTCCGCACCGTTATTACAGTTATGATTCCCGCTTTCCGCCGGATCCTCAGAGCCGTGCAGGTCCCGCCCTCATCTCCCCCAGAACAATAAACGGCAACCCCTCTGCCCCCCTATCCCCCAGCTTGGCTCACCTCTCTGTCTTCACCCTTACTCCGAGGGCTGAGCCGTCCAGAAATTCCTGGGCTCCTGGACAGCGACCAGTGGCATCTGCAGCGCGCATGCGCGGGGACGGAGGCGGGCCTCGGGGCTCGTCGGGTCCGGGGCGGGAGATCGGGTCTGTGAAGGTGGAGGAGCCGAGAAGCAGCATCCGACTGAGGCCGGTATTTGGTGTCTCAGGCCTCCAGAGGTGACTACCGTCGTGACAGATGCTGTTAAATACAATCCTTCTTCCCTTTGAGAATTCTAGTGTCAAACTATAAAGCCAAATAAACGGTAGTACCTCGGCGAAAAGGCGCGCCCCATCACTACATCACTAACGCGCCGGAAGTTGACTTCCTGTCCCCAGTGCGCAAGCGCAAAGCAGGGAATTTGCTACCAGGATCTGGTATTGTGCTGGGGGGAAACCTCTCATAGAAAGAACTCGAGGCTGCAGATGCTTGGTAAGAAATGTACGCATTACCCTGCCCATGTAATTGTAACCCCTCTGTACAGTATGTTCACAAATAAAATTAAATTAAAAAAAGAAAGAACTCGAGGCTGAGGCCGCCTTCGTTAATTTTTTTTTAATAATGCAAACAATACCATCAAGTGTGTGTGTGTGGGACTCACAGATAGGTGACTGTGGGCTAGAGTTTGTGCACTAGTTTCCTCACATATAAAGTCAGAATTGTCACTATATATTGTTATACGGTAATTCAATGAACGGGGTACAGAGATGCCACATTTCAAAAAGTCGAATTCGGAGTATTTATTAAAAGGTCGGAAACTGCATGGTGGACTCCTGGCTCAAAGACCATGTGCCGAGCACGCATATGGCATCACGCTTAGTAAGTTTTACTCAATTTATTCAAACACTTCAAATATAATCCACACCAATAACTAGCTCATGCCCAATTCTACTAAGCGTATGCCACCCCCAGGGAGCTCACGTGGTACGATGCTTGGACCGGAAGTCGAGGGGAATCCGCCGAGGGTGTCCACTGGGCTGCTCCAAGTCGCTGGAGGGAGTAGCAGCTGCCTTGCGGAGGCGCTCCTGTGGAGGGCTGGTCTGATGTGGAGTCGTTTCACTCGGTCTCTGCTGCTCTGCGTTTTTGCATGTTTTAGGCTGGGCTTCTTCGCTTTTGGCCATGTCTGGTTATTACTATTGGCTGGTTGCTTTGCTTCTGGACGAGTTTGGTTATCACTGTGGGCTCTGTAGTCTCCTTAGTGTGTCCTTATCTCTATATTCCATAGTTCTAACTCCTAATTTTTAACTCCTTTGTTGTTGTTGATGTTGTTGTTGGTCATGGGGCTTGAACTCTGGGCCTGGGCGCTGTCCCTCAGCTCTTCAGCTCAAGGCTAGTGCTCCACCATTTGAACCAAGTGCCACTTCCAGTTTCCTAGTGCTTAATTGGAGATAAGAACCTCATGGACTTTCTTACCCAGGCTGGCTTTGAACCATGATCCCATGAGCCACAGGAGCCCAATGGAAACCCAGAATCTTCAATTAAACAGCTTTGAATTAATTCCCCAACTGATTCCAGGTTTAAACTATTTTCAAATTGCCCAATTTCGTCCTGAAAAATCCTCCCATCATTCATTATCCTTCGCTTGGAGGCTTTACTACTTCCCTAGGTCTCCTCTTTTCTTTTATAGTTTACCCCCAGTGTCCTGAATGCATCTGCTTGTCTTGTCATTTGCCTTTCAGAGGACACGGATGAATTCCTACCTTCAGCTTACCTTACTTCCCAAAAGGGATTCCTAAGGGAAAATCCTGGCCCCTGAATACTGCTGGAGCGACAAGGTGCATACTCTATGACTAATGCATAAACCTGAATGCCATAAACTCGAATGTATGGACAGGATGTGGTGAGAGAAGGAAAGGGAAGACGAATGGACACAGTACCAATTTACCTAATACTAAAGGGGGCACGCTAGACATTTAAGATGTTAGCATCCCCTATATGATGAAACAGGCTGTTGCTATCTTGGGGTTAGCTATAAAGTTCGCAGCACCCCAATTTCAAGGGCTCATCCTGTCAAGAACGGGAGAGAAGTCCGGGTGCTGGTGGCTCATGCCTGTCATCCTGGCTACTCGAGAGGTTGAGATCTGAGGATCGTGATTCAAAGCCACCCAGTCAGGAACGTCTGTGAGATTCTCATCTCCAATAAACCACTGGAAAAACGGGAGTGGTGTTGTGGCTCAAGTGGTAGAACGTTCGCCTTGAGCTGAAGAGCTGAGGGACAGCGCCTAGGCCCAGAGTTCAAACCCCACGACTGACGAGAGAGAGAGAGAGAGAGAGAGAGAGAGAGAGAGAGAGAGAGAGAGAGAGAGAGATTGCCTTTGAGTCCATTACACTGAATCTCCACGCCAGATCACACACAGGTCGTAGGCTTCGGAGCAGAACTTCATAGTTCTTTTCTCAGACCCCTGAAGTCTGGACCATCCTGATTTGCCTCCCGTATGTTCCGAGAATTTTAGCACACACAAAAAAAATCAGCCTTTGGTCAGCTCCTGCAGCGTTCGCGCATGCGCTCTTGCACACTCCTCCCGGTATTGGACAGCCACTCCCGGAAGGCTTTGGGGCTCGGACTAAGGGCGGGGCTTCGTGCCGCCTAGAGCAGGGGGGGGGTGAGGGGGAGGGGAGGAGACGGAGCCTACGCGCCTCCGGGATATTGGGGGTGGGCGTGGCATGACGCTTCCAGACGCAAGCGGGGGCGGGGCCTGCGCGGGCCCCGAGTTGTAGTCGGTGGGCGGGGCCTGCGCGCCTCACGGTTGCTGTGAGAACTGAGGCTGCTGTCTCGCTTTCCCACAAGGACTGAGGCACTGGGTAATCTGCCGGGGACTACACATCCCACCAGCGACGGAGATCACTCCGAACTCTGGCTCCGTTTCCTACCTCTCCTCCCCGGGCATGCCGTGCAGGACTTGGTCCTATGTGAGGAAGAAGGCGGAGCGGCTCGCTGAGAGGCTGCAGGTACGCTGCGCCCCGCGTAGCGGTGAGAGCCGGGCGGCGGGCGGCTCTGGCGGCTGCGAGGAGGGTGACGGTGTCGGTGGGAGACGACGGCGACGGTGAGAGGCCCGGGCCGCGGGAGACCGGACCGGCCGCGACTCTGCGAAGTGGGTGCGGTTGCGGGACTGAACTGTGCGTTGCGGCCCTTAACGGGACGGCGAACTGGGTGCGTTGTCGTGGCTGTGGAGCGAGTGTCCCTGTGACCTAGGTTCCTTGCTGCTTTCTGCGTCCTCCCTTCAGTCACGTATGACTGACCTCCCCCCCCCAAAAAAACACAAAACAAAACAAAAAACCTCAAAACCATTCAGGGCTGGCACTGGTGGGCTCACATCTGTAATCCTGGCTACTCTGGAGGCTGTGATCGCGGTTCAAAACCAGCCCAGGCAAGAATGTCTGTGAGGAAATGAGGGACAAAGGGTGAACACATGCAGAAGTGGTACTCACCCACTATGTTGAAAATGAACTATACAACTTATGGGTGGAGACGGGAGGGAAAAACTGGGAGAGAGCTAGGGAAAGGGTGACACGATCCGAAAAGAAATGTATTCATCACCTGGTTTATATAACTGTAACTCCTCTGTACATCACCTTTATAACAATAAAAGATTCAAAGTCATAAAAAAGAATATCTGGTGCTTATCTCCAATTAAGCACCAGAAAGCAGAGGAGAGTGAACCTAGAGTTCAAGTAGTAGAGTGCCACCCTTGAATGAAAAAAAGCTGAGGGTCGGGGATCAGATGCTGTGTTCAAGATACACATACAGTTCAGAGGAGAAATTAGGTGTTGAGGCCTTTCAGCAAGAAGTTACTCTGCTGGCTCAAGTGATATTGCCTGCCTATCAAATGGGTGACCCTAAATTCAATCTCCACCATCCCCTCTCCTCAAAAACGTACAGATGTGCAATTAGGGTAGAAATTATAAAGCAAAATAGGAGTAAGATTAGGAGTATGGAATTCTTACTCGGGAGTCCTTTGGGGTCCCTTTATATGTTTGAGAAATGTAGCATCCCTTAAATTCTGAGCCTAGGGACTGCTATGAACTCTGATACAGATGCCATAGACTATCTTTCCTTTCTCCTTTGGGTGGTACTAGGGCTTTAAACAAAGGTTCTTGCACTTACTAGGAAGGTGATCTACCAATTGAACTACCTACCCCAGCCCAACCCCACCCCTATTCTAACTTCACATATAAGGTCACAGCAGGTGTAACCCTGAAAGATGTAATAATAATTACATGTGGTTACTCTTCTTTCTCCTTTAGGTTTTTTTCCTTCCTTCCTTCCCTTCTTCCTTCCTTCCTTCCTTCCTTTTTCCTCCACCTCCTCCTCTGAGCCTGCCGGCAACGAAAGGGAATCCTGAATTAGGCGGCGAGGATGAGGAAAAATAAAGACATGAGACAAAGGATGGGGTCGGGAGGTCTGCAGCTCAAGACTGCAGCACCGTTTATTTTAATTTTTTATTTTTTTGTTGGCCGTGGGGCTTGAACTCTGGGCCTGGGCGCTGTCCCTCAGTTCTTCAGCTCAAGGCGAGCGCTCTACCACTTGAGCTACAGTGCCACTTCCGGTTTTCTGGTGGTTTATTGGAGATAGGAGTCTCACGGTCTCTCCTGCCCCGGCTGGCTTTGAACCGTGATCCTCAGATCTCAGCCTCCTGAGTAGCTAGGTTTACAGGTGTGAGCCACCAGCGCCCGGCAGCACCGTTTATTTTTAACTAATATATACTATTAGAAGTCAAGAGGTAACATAAGGTTACAATAGTCTAGAAAAACAAGGAAAATTTCAGTAAAAACAGAGTGCAGTAAAAACAAGACAAGGTCAACTGGTAGAAAGTAAAACAAACTCTGCAGACATAGCAAAGCAATCCTGGGCACCTGGTGTTTTTTAAGTAAGCCAGTTCCTTCTACGTGCCTTCAAGTGAGCACCGGGTCAAGATGACCTTTAAACTTTACTGTCGGCTCCCAACATTCCTCTTCCTCCTCCTCCTCCTCCTCTTCCTCCTCCTCCTTCTTCATGTTGACTGTGGGGCTTGAACTCAGGGT